TACAAGGTTTATCCACCTGGAGAGTTTAAATCCTGCCCTTTTCACCCTAACATGGGGACTCAGAGCTGCTCACAGAAAGGCAGCCTTTACACACACAGCCTTTATTGGCATATAATAACAAAATCATAACAAAGGCATATACAAGAGGAAGTCACACATAAAAAAGAAAACATAAATAAGAGTTACTAATCTTAAGAATCAAGTTTGCAACAGTGTCACAAAAGAATGCACCAGAGTTGTTCAGTAGATACGGAATTTTATAACACCTTTTCCATTGAGAACACTGTGAAAAAATGGAATTCCTGTATTTCATCCGTATATTATCATTGTTAGGGCATACAAACAAAGCATTGTGAAGTGTTTCAACAGAAACCAAGTCACAAGAACAAACCCTTTAAAAACATTCTACATTTTTATATCTCCTATCCAAAAGAGCTGATTACAAATAAAATGTGAAATGGTTTTCCTTTGCTAAAAATGTCCTTAACAAACTCACATAATCACACATTCTTAATTGAATAATTTTCAACTCACAGGGGAAAAACATTCAAAAGCTGTTTGTGATAAGGAAAATCCAAACGCTTGCCGCAAGCATACCATCAATTTTTAAAGACTTTGAATCAAAGCTCTTCATATTTTTATTAATAAAATACATACAACATGAATTTAAGATGGGTTTTTTTTCTTGTTTTAGGGGAGGGTGGGAGACATACAATTACAGTCCAATCTCAATATTTTTCTCTGGTATCCCCTACATGGCATTCCTCAGATGTTTTAGATTGCAACCCTCATAATTCCCCAGCCAGTTTCATGTTCCCAAGAATCTGTATATATGACTGCACACTTGATGTTTTAACAGCAATTTTTAAAAACAGTTAAATGTCTCATTTAAATCATTCATCCCTGTCCCTGTTTAGCAAAATTTCATTGAATTCAATCCAAGATTCACTTTCATGGAATAATGCAGCAATACTTACTCTTGATTAGACATATATCAGGTGGTCCCACTAAAGCAGTGGTTCCCAACCTTTGGGCCTCCAGGTGTTTTGAACTTCAAATTACTTAATATTTGTAAAACTATTTTTTTTCCAAAATGCATTGATTGATGACTATCAAAACTACACACAAACATCCGAATTCCAAGTTGTGGGAGCTATGTGATTAAAAACTTCAGTTGGTCTCCTGCATCCGCAGATTTAATATCTACAGATTCAAAGATCCACAAATTGAAAATATTTTTTTAAAAAATCCAAAAAGCAAACCTTGATTTTGCCATTTTATATTAGGGACACCATTTTAGAATGTCATTGTATATACAATGGAACTTGAACATCCATGGATTTTGTGCTCATGGGACGTCCTGGAATAAAACTCCAAAGAACCCATTGTATTATTGTCCAAATGTGTACAAACACCATTACATTATTGTTCATTTCATTTCAACTACTACTTTAATAGCTAAGTAATATTTTAAATCTTCATATCCGATTTTAAAAGCGACACATAGTTAACATAGTACAAATCTTTGTTGCCTTGGGTGAAAAATCTTTGGTGCTTTATTACCACATATCATACATCAGGTCAACCTTGAACATTAAAATGAAACATTTTTTTGTTTACCTAGAATAGAATTTGAATAATTATCTCAAAGTCTCTAACATAAGAAAGAAAGGAAAGGATAGTTGTTTCTGAATCTTCAAACTATGGTGTGAATTGATTCATGGAATCAAATTATCAGAGCTGTTAAATAATTCCAGTAATTTTCAGTCAGATTTCCTAATAAAGTTTGTATACGTGCCTTCAAGTACTTACCAATTTCCTAATTAGATACCCAGCAATGCCCAGATTGGGTAATTTGTAATGCTAATTATCAGAAAAAGTCATTGTTTGTTTTGTTATTTTATGAATGGTTCCATTTAAAATGAATAAGGATGTGGGCAAACTACAACTCCCATCATCCCAGGTCCACCCCATCTCCAAACACCGTCAACAGTTAAAATTGGTCATGATTGGTCCAGATCCATTGCCGGTGGAGTCCACACTGTTCTCTGAACATGGGCAAACTGCAACTCCCATAGTCCCAGGTCAATTCCTCCCAAACCCCAATACTTAAAAGTTTCCATTGGAGGTATGTGTGTCAAGTTTGGTCCAGATCTCTGGAAATTCTCTCTGGATGTGTGGTGAACTGCAGTTCCCATCATCCAGAGTAAATCCCCAAAACCCCTTTAATATTTTCTGTTAGTTATGATAGGCCTTGTGTGCCAAGTTTGGTCGAGATCTGTTGTTTGTGGGAGTCACGGGGCTGTCTGGAATTGGAAGCCATCATGGAAAACACATATATTGATACATACTTTCATTTCATATATAGATGGTAGCCCTATCATACAGGTTCTTTGTCAAGATTTGTTCAAAGATTTGCTTCCTGTAAGGCTAAAAATGTATGTCTTCCCAAGGTGCTCCAGGTATCTACAATTGTGAAAGTCATATTGCACAAACCCTTGCCCTTTATTCCATGTGCCTGCTGTGCTTGGCCACTGGTTGTTGATCATGACGGTTTTGTTTTTATGATGTTTTCCATGTATTTTATAGTTTTATTGTTCTATGTTTTAATTTGTGTTTGACTGGGCTTGGTCACTATGTAAGCCGTCCCAAGTCCCTTCGGGGAGATTGTGGCGGATACAAAAATAAAGTTGTTGTTGTTGTTGTTGTTATTATTATTAAGATAAGAGGGATCGTCTCACCTCTACAGGAGCCTACCATATACCATGCAGCTCTGGATAAGTCTGCATAGGGACCACCAACACGAATCAAGGAACATAAAAAGGACTGCAGACTAAGTCAGCCATAGCAGAGCACCTCATGAACAAACCTGGACACAGCATATTATTTGAAAACAAAGAAATGCTGGACCACTCTAACAACTACCATGTCAGAGAAGCCACTGAAATCCACAAGCATGTGGACAAGCAGAAAGGAGGAAACCATGAAAATGCTAATCAAGGTGGCCAATTGCAACATTCATACTTGCCTCAAGCAGGCAAGAGTTCTTTCTCCCAACCTGGACATTCCACAGATATATAAACCTCACTTGGTTTCCAGCAGACCCCTCAACCTCTAAGGATGCCTGCCACAGATGTGGGCGAAATGTCAGGAGAGAATGCTTCTGGAACATGGACATACAGCCTGAAAAACTCACAGCAACCCAATTGTGAAAGAACTTCAACAGCCCTTTCCTTTTATGCATTACTAGCTGTTCCCTGCCACATGTTGCTGTGGCCTAGTTGTCCTTCTTTAGGAGTCCCTTTCAAATCTATGATACTATATCTATCATATGTGGATGTGAATCATATATATCTCAGTATAGCTATGGCTGGATGGCTCTTTGTCAGGAGGGCTTTGATTATGTTTTCTTCCCCTGGTGAAGGGAGTTGCACTGGATGGCCTTAAGGCAGCATTTCTCAACCTGGGTGTTGGGTTACCTGGAGGGGGGGAGGAGTCATGAGGAGGTGTCATAAGGGTCGCCAAAGACCACCAGAAAACACAGTATTTTCTGTTGGTCATGGGGGTTTTGTGTGGGAAGTAGAGGCCAATTCTATTGTTGGTGGGGTTCAGAATGATCTTTGATTGTAGGTGAACTATAAATCCCAGTAATTACAAATACCAAATGTGAAGGTCTAATTCCCCTAAACTCTATCTGTGTTCATATTTGGGCATATGGAGTATTAGTACCAAATTTGGTTTAGATCCATCATTGTTTTGAGTCCACAGTGCTCTCTGAATGTAGGTGAACTATAACTCCCAAACTCAAGGTCAATGCCCACCAAACTCTTCCAGTATTTTCTGTTGGTCATGGGAGTCCAATTTGGTTCAATGCCATCATTGGTGAAGTTCAGATTGCTCTTTGATTGTAAGTTAACTATAAATCCCAGAAACTAACTCCTAAATGACAAAATCATTTTTTTTTGGAGTGATGGTCACTCATTGGATTAGTAGATGTCTTGTGGCCCAATTTGGTGGCAATTTGTCCAGCAGATTTTGAGTTATGATGTCACTCAAAACGAACAGAGCATTTATATATATATATAGAGAGAGAGAGAGAGAGAGAGAGAGAGAGAGGAAAATTACTTGAGTAAACTCACACTATTGCAATCACTACTATCAACCCACTTTTTTCTATGTGAGTTGTAGTTAATCTACATTCCATCTGAGTTCATCTTACTCAGATAATAGATGATTGCTCTACTAACAACTCCACTTCTGAGAATCTACTAAGTAGGCAAGAATTGGTTCACCTAGGCTAAGCAAATGTGTTTAAAAAAATCTCTTCCATTCCAATCAAAGGCCTTGGAAGTGGTTGGTTTTGGCTCCAGTGTCAAGGTTTTGGACTTGGGCAACTCTTGGCATGGATGAAATGGTAAACAACCTTTGGTTAAAGGACCAGAGTCGAATCAGATTCCTCCTCTTGGATGACATCCAAAATTCAGGGCGATTAGTTGGGTTGTGCAAGAAACAAACCAAACTGAAATCACTGCACAAAGTGTAACTCTCTGAACGATAAAGAACAGTGCAAATTATCATCTTGAAGAGCTCAATACCCACATATAATGTTCTAATCCAGGTGTGGGCAAAATTGGGCCCTCCAGGTGTTTGGGACTTCCACTCCCACCATGCCTAACAGCCTCAGGCCCTTTCCTTTCCCCCCCCCCCCCCCCAGCCGCTTAAGCGAAGGAAGGGAAGAAAAGGAAGGGGCCTGAGGCTGTTAGGCATGGTGGGAGTGGAAGTCCAAAACACCTGGAGGGCCCAACTTTGCCCTAATCTATTCTAACGGTCTCTTCCCACCAGAGAATAGGAGGCAAGGAACGCCCTCAAACCCCCCTTCAGCGCAAGAATGGTCTCGCCCAACCAAAGCACTGCCAGTCCGTTCCAATGGAATCCCCAAGCGCGAGGCGAGCGGACCGTACCAACAAGTTCATTTGGGGGGGGGGGAGTGATCTTGGTACCTGCGAGCCGCGCTGATCTTTCCAGCGCTGCATCTGATCGTCCGCACAGTCTCGTCCGCCTGCCATTTTGCGGGACCCGACTCTAAAGGATGCGAATAGCCGCCGAAGAATAGGACGCACTGACGAGGTACCCAAGCCAGCGCCACATATATATCTCTTTCCCTCTCCCCGTTTCTCGCCCAAGGCTGATGGGCGGAGAAAAATGGAGATAACAGCCCTGAGGGAGAGGTTGCTCCAAAAGCCCCGCCCTCCTCTCCCTCATTGGTCCGCTGGAGCACTCCGAGAGCGCTCATTGGACGCTGCGGACGTCCACCAAGGGAAAACCCGCCCTTGCGATGGGGAGGGGTCTGTATCTAGAGAGGGCAAACAAACAATTGCTGGTTAAAGAGAGAAGGGCACAAGAACTACAAAGGCAACCTCCCTCCTTATTATTATACTGATGTCCCACCTCATTGAGAGTCCTTCCACATAGCCCTATATCCCAGAAAATCAAAACAGAAAATCCCACAATAGCTGCTTTGAACTGGATTATCTGAGTCCACACTGCCATATATCCCAATTCAAAGGAGCAAAAAAAGCCAATGGGATTTTTGCCTGCATCAATAGGAGTATAGTGTCTTCATCAGTGGTTCTCAACCTTCCTAATGCCGCAACTCCTTAATACAGTTCCTCATGTTGTGGTGACCCCCAACCATAACCCTAACATTATGAATCGCCATGTAAATAATGATCTGCAGGATGTACTTTCATTCACTGGAGCAAATTTGGCACAAATACCCAGTATGCCTAAATTTGAATACAGGTGGGGTTGGCAGGGGGATTGATTTTTGTCATTTGGGAGTTGTAGTTGCTGGGATTTACAGTTAACCTGCAAACAAAGAGCATTCTGAACCCCACCAACAATGGAATTGAACCAAAGTTGGCACACAGAACTCCCACGACCAACAGGAAATACTGGAAGGGTTTGGTGGGCACTGACCTTGAGTTTGGGAGTTGTAGTTTGCCTACATCCAGAGAGCACTGTGGGCTCAAACAATGATGGATCTGGACCAAACTTGGCACGGATACTCAATATGCCCGAATTTGAAAACTGATGGGGTTTGGGGAAAATAGACTTTGACATTTGGGAGTTGTACTTGTTGGGATTTATAGTTCACATGCAATCAAGGAGCGTTCTGAACCCCCAATGATAAGAATTGGCCCAAAGTTCCCACACAACATCCCCATGACCAACAGAAAATACTGTGTTTTCTGATGGTCTTTGGTGACCCCTCTGACACACCTTTACGACCCCCCCCCCGGGGTCCTGACCCCCAGGTTGAGAAACACCGGTCTAGATCCAGGGAAGTCATGCTACCCTTCTATTCTGCCTTGTTTAGACCACACCTGGAATATTGTGTTCAATTCTGGGCACCACAATTGAAGAGAGATATTGACAAGCTGGAGTGTGTCCAGAGGAGGGTGACTAAAATGATCAAGGGTCTGGAGAACAAGCCCTATGAGGAGCGGCTTGAAGAGCTGGGTATGTTTAGCCTGAAGAAGAGAAGACTGAGAGGAGACATTATGGCCATGTATAAATATGTGAGGGGAAGTCATAGGGAGGAGGGAGCAAGCTTGTTTTCTGCTGCCCTAGAGACGAGGACGCGGAACAGTGGCTTCAAACTACAAGAAAGGAGATTCCATCTGAACATTAGGAAGAACTTCCTGACTGTGAGAGACATTCAGCAGTGGAACTCTCTTCCCCGGAGGGTGGTGGAGCCTTCTTCTTTGGAAGCTTTTAAACAGAGGCTGGATGGCCATCTGTCAGGGGTGCTTTGAATGCAATTTTCCTGCTTCTTGACAGAGGGTTGGACTGGATGGCCCATGAGGTCTTTTCCAACTCTATGATTCTATGGAAGCAGAAAAATGTGGGATTTTCTGCCTCGATATTCTGGGATATAGGGCTGTGTGGAAGGGCCTGAGTCCCAAACTTTTGTCTTTTCCAGATGTTTTGGTCTTCAGTTCCCAGAAGAGCCAGCCAGGGTGACCAATGGCCAGGAATTTTGGGAGCTGGAGTCCCAAACATCTGGAAATCACTGTTCTGTTGGATTCAGCAGTGCTTCCTTCCTTGTGCTTATGACTCAGCACTTTTTCCAGTGTTTGGCTGTTTGAGGCGGACAGTTGCCAAGTGAATTTAATCTTTGCTAGATGTATTTTAATACAGTATTATGTTATCTCTGTGTTTGTTTTGTTGTACCCTGCCTCCAGAAGGAGAGGTGGGTAATAAGAAAATGTATTATTATTATTTTACTTATACAAAAACACAGAATGTCAGAGCAAATGAGATCTATATGCTGGATTTCATATCACAAAATCACAAGTCGAACACTTCCCAAGCATCTAGGACTGTGTGATCTATTATTATTATTATTATTATTATTATTATTATTATTGCTACTATTATGCTGGCCAACATACGTTTTGGTGCCTCAAAGGTTAGCGCTGTTTCTGGGTGTATTTGACTTGCTCAGTGGTTCTCAACCTGGGGTCCCCAGATGTTTTTGGCCTTCAACTCCCAGAAATCCTAACAGCTGCTAAACTGGTTGGGATTCTGGGAGTTGTAGGGCAAAACACCTGGGGACCCACAGGTTGAAACCACTGGTGCTAATTCCAAAAATTGTAGCACGTTTCCCCCCCCCCCCCCCCCCCAATCTCCAATTTTTGAGATACAGAACATAGGCCATCTATCTGGGCCTGATTCTATTCAATCTGATCTCTTTTTTCGATAGAGTTACAAGCTGGGTAAAGTAGGCAAGAGCAGAGACATCACACTGGCAACTAAGATCCACAGTTAAAACAATGGTCTTCCCTGTAGTCACCTATGGATGTGAGAGCTGGCCCATAAGGAAGGCTGACTGAAGGAAGATAGATGCTTTTGAACTGTGGTGCTGGAGGAAAATTCTGAGAGTGCCTTGGACCACGAGAAGATCAAACCAATTCATACTCCAGGAAATAAAGCCCGACTTCTCATTGGAAGGAATGATATTAGAGGCAAAGATGAAGTACTTTGGCCACATAATGAGAAGACAGGAAAGCTTGGAGGAGATAATGATGCTGGGGAAAATAGAAGAAAAAAGGAAGAGGGGCCGACCAAGGGCAAGATGGATGGATGGTATCCTTGAAGTGACTGGCTTGACTTTGAAGGCCACGGCCATCAGGGAACTCTGGTATAAACTGGTCCAGGAGGTCACGAAGAGTAGGAAGCAACTGAATGAATAAATAACAAACAAGCTGGGTAGATGCAAGGAATGCCATGGATGTAGCATATCTGGATTTCAATAAGGCCTTCGGCAAGTTCCCCCATGACCTCCTGGTAAACAAACTAGTCAAATGTGGGCTAGGCAAAACTACAGTTAGGTGGATCTGTAATTGGTTACAGATCCACCTAACCCAAAGGGTGATTTTTCCCAATGCTTCTTCTTCATCCTGGAAAGAAGTCATGAGTGGAGTGTTGCAGGGTTCTGTCCTTCGCCCGGTCCTGTTCAACATCTTTATTAATGACTTAGATCAGGAGTCCCCAAACTAAAGTCTATGGTTCAGATCTGGCCCCCAAGGCAATTTTCCCGGCCCTCACCCTCTTCATTTGCAGCTGTTGGGACCCTTGCCATGGGGGGAAAAAAGAAAAAGGAGGGCAGGAAAGAAGCGCAAAGAGAGCAATGGGGACATTGTAAGGTAGGCCCTCCTGGAGCTCCCTACTGTCCCACAGTTATTAGATGCCTACACAACAGCAGCAGACTGCTGTTGTGTAGCCCATCTGAATGTGCTATGGCTATGTGTTATGTGCTATGGCTATGTGTGCCCATCTGAAAAAAGTAATAACCAGTTTGTATCCCTAGGAAACAGTAATGTCAACGAAAAGAAACAATGACACAGTTGCATCACTTGTTACAACTTGGCAGTGACCAATATGCAACTGGACCTTAACTGAAATACTGTTAAGTTTATGTTGGTTAAAATTGTTCTTCATTTTAAATATTGTATTGCACTTTTATGTTTTTTGCATTACAAATGAGATACGTGTAATGTACATGAGAATTCGTTCAATTTTTGTTTTCAAGCTGTAGTCCAGCCCTCCAACTGAACTGGCCCTCTGCTTAAAAAGTTTGAGGGTTTCTGACTTAGATGAAGGGTTAGAAGGCATGATCATCAAGTTTGCAGAAAACACCAAACTGGGAGGGATACCCAATACTCCAGAAGACAAGAGCAGAATTCCAAACCATCTTAACAGATTAGAGAAATGGGCCAAAACTAACAAAATGAAGCTCAACAAGGACAAATATAAGATACACCACTTAGGCAGAAAAAATGAAATGTAATGATACAGAGTTGGGGATGCCTGGATCGACAGCAGTACATGTGAAAAAGATCTTTGAGTCCTTGTGGACAGCAAGTTAAACGTGAGCCAATAATGTCATGCAGCGGCAAAAAAGCTAAAGGGATTTTGGCCTGCATAAATAGGAGTCTAGTGTCTAGATCTAGGGAAGTCATGCTACCCCTCTAGTATGCCTTGGTCAGATCACACCTGGAATACTGTGTCCAATTCTGGGCACCGCAATTGAAGGGAGATATTGGCAAGCTGGAATGTGTCCAGAGGAGAGCAACTAAAATGATCAAGGGTCTGGAGAACAAGCTCTATGAGGAGTGGCTTAAAGAGCTGGGCATGTTTAACTTGCAGAAGAGAAGGCTAAGATGAGACATGATGACCACGTATAACTATGTGAGGGTAAGTCAAAAGGAGGAGCGAGCAGGCTTGTTTTCTGCTTTCCTGGAGACTAGGATGCAGAACAATGGCTTCAAGCTACAGGAAAGGAAATTCCATTTGAACATTAGGAAGAATTTCCTAACTGTGAGAGCTGTTCAGCAGTGGAACTCTCTGCCCCAGAGTGTAGAGGGGGCTTCTTCTTTGGAGGCTTTTAAGCAGAGGCTGGATGGCCATCTCTCTGGAGTGCTTTGAATGTGATGTTCCTGCTCCTTGTAAGAGAACTGGATGGTCCACAAGGTCTCTTTCAATTCTATGATTCTATACCAGTTGCCACCTGCTTGCCCATAGAAAAACATGATAACCATATTTAAGAAACTAGAGCTGTTGCAGCCTACCCAATGCAGCTCTCTGAATAACCCTAGGAACAGGCCTAAAGATCAAGACACCAAGAAAAAATGTGGTTG